AAAAGAAGGTTGAAAAAATAGCAAAGACAGAAACATACCAGATATGAGATCTGTAATTTTTAGGTGACTGTAATTGACCCTTGCCAGTTAGAGTCAGACAGTGGCAATGATATTGGCCAACTAATCTAAAAAGGAATTAGAGAGAAATCAGATTCTTGTGGTTAGCTATGGGCAGGTTCTTTGTTAAAGGAATAAAAAAAATGTTGGGTCTGTAGGATGCATGAAAAAGTAACAGAGAGAGAGAGAGAGTATTTGTTTGATGGCATGAGCTTAATAAATGGGAAGTATGAATGGGAAGGTAAATTCTCAACTTCAGTAACACTGTTCGCTCACCTGAAGCAATGATGGAAGTGAGTTTATGTCATTGAGCTCAGGTGGGCAGCAGTATGTTTTAAATTAATGCTAAAATGAAGAAATGCAGAAAAGAGATGTAAACAAGGATGATGAATTTAAGATAGTCAAACCACTTGTTTTTAAGGATCTACCTGAAGCCAAGCAGGAGTGCTATAATAGTGTTCAAACATCAGGCTATAAGGAAGAGAAATTCTGAGGCAGAGGAAGAAGACATCACCACTGAAGACATACACATCTAAAGTCACGGCACAGGGAAGATGGATATTGAAATGAAGGAAGCAACCCAAAGGAAATGCCCGTTCCATGGTGAGCAACAGGAGCATTTAAAGATCATTAGTCTTAAGCAGAAGATATGCAGAGAAGGAAAAATGGCTTTTTTGTGTAATATATACAGAATATAGGATTATGTGAGCCCTGCAAAACGCCTTAAATTTTGCTGATTGCAGAGCTGAGAAAAAATTAAAGTATTTGATATAGATAGTATGTAAGTTGGTAAAGGAAAATGCAGAAAAGGAAAGATAAATTATGATTTTTTAAATATTTACTTCATATTTTACCAGGAGGATTAAGCATAAGAAAATATATTTTTAATTAGGTAGTCGTGAAATTTTTTTAGGAAAATGCTTTCCATTTTAACTGGGGGCATAGAGACAGTTTAATTTTAATTTTTTTTTTTTTAGTCTAAATCTTGATAAAATACTCAAGGTGAGATAGTTTGTTAAAGGTTTGGCTTCAAAACAGTAAAAATGCTTACTTCCCAAAGTATTTTGCAATATAAACTTTGGCAGAAAAAAACCCCAAACAACTACATTTCCTATTAAAAAAATGAGGGAGATGCATTATAATAAAAAGTAATTTCAATTAAAAATCTACAGGTGCTGCACTTATTTGAAAACTTTACAATCTCTTTCACCAAAAGACTAAGATATGAGGAAGCCTAAGTGGCAGGAGACATAAATTTCTGTTGTTGTTTTAGGAAGGCCGATACTGGGGACTGAAACTACAGGTAGTATATGATGATTGACAGTCTCAAGACTTCTGTTTTGAGTAGTTACTCTGGAGAAGATAAAAGCATATTTTCATAATTTCAAAATTAACATAATTTTGATTAGAAGTCATTATATATAGCTTAGTGTGCATTTTATTGCAGCCCACTATCATAGATACTACCGTGTACAGTTCAAAATGTCCTTTTATTTTCTTGAGAATTCCTCCAAGGACTGTGAATATTGGATTTTTCTGTGTTTTTTATAATTCTGTCAGGCATCATAAAAGTTCAGTTTCATTGCTGTTATTCAGCTGCTGCTTTGTGTTATGACACTCTTAATAAATAGGAGTAAAAAACTTTTATATATATATAAATACATACTTTCCTATTTACATATACTGAACTGTGTGTCTCTAGACTTGTCTTTACAGCGGCAGCTTTTGTAGTAGACATCGTGTGTATAGTATTCATTTTATATATGTCAGATCCTCAAGGGCCATGGCTTTTGCCAGATGAAGCACTTTTGATTTCGAGGCTGATGAAACATAGTGCTATTATTGATCTGTGCATGACACAGCCAGTCTCTGTGGTGGCAGAGTGTAGCAACATTTATCCAGGAATTTGTGAAATGTCACTCGGATCATGTTCGTAAGGTAAACTGTGCAAAATCCAGGATTCAAGCTGAGAATCCATGAGGAATTGGACGTGACTCTCTTATTCGTTCATCCTATCTTCTAGGTCAGCCAAGTGGTATTTGATAAAACAATGTCTGTGTTTTGTATTAGGTGTTGAGGAAAGTGTGATTATCACTAGGAACACCCTGTACAGTGTAGACATACTGCTGGTTTCCTCAGGTTTTTAAGTCGCTTGGGAGAACAAGATTTTAAGTCAGTGAAAGTGATCTAAAGCATTGCAAGTGTGTAATTTTTGTTTTCTTTGTAGAAAGTGGACGATTCCTGTACAGTGGCAAGCAGAAAACTCTGCTTAGATTTTCTAAAGGAATTTAGCTTTCCTTACTTTTATGCTTATAGAGATGTATGGCAATTTGTGTTTGTCAGTAAGATCTCATGAAGTAATAGTGGTCAGAAAGGGTGTGTGACAGTCTCTACAAGTAAAACTGTCGTAATATTGATAATTACATATTTTCTTTCTTTATAAATATGATTGAGAATGGCTGCACAGTTTTGCTAGTATCAGAAGCAGGTAATTTAAAAAATACTGAAAGCCAAGGTATGTAACAAAACCCCAAACTTCCATGTACTATTTCTCTATTTGTCACTTTTCCAGACATCTTTATAGATGGTGTTGCAGTTTTAAAAAATTGCTTTCAGGTATAAAAAAGTCACAAAAAGCTGTAATTCTTAATTTACATTTTTTCTTTCCAAAGCGGTTATAATAGTAACAATTTTGAAGTTAGCCATGATGAAAAAAAAATTATATTTAATAAATTTGTTTTCAATTTTGAACATTAAAATATTTTTAAAAATCTTCTTGTATTTCATTTAAAAATCAGTTGTTAGTTAAAGTAAGAAGAAAGAAGTTCTGTTGAACTAAAGTTCTGAGTGAGGCTGTCTTGGGATTTTTTTCCAAAGCTACCAAAAATATTTTTCAAAAATAATTCCTGTTGTTTGAATCCCAAAGGAAAAAAATCAATATTTAATTGAAGCAGCACTTGTGAATGACCACAGAAATGTTCTTGTTGTCTAGTTTTTCAAATGTTTTACAGCATTTGTACGTAAAGAGTAAAATCTAGAGGGGAGAGGGTTGTTGCTGTTGGTTGTGGAAAAAATGCATGTATGTACGAGGTCTTAATTTTTACATGTTATCCCTCCCTTTACAAGATTATGTATGTGAAATCCACCATAAAATAAAACCCAGTAAGTTGTGGGTAAAGTCAAAATAGTAGTTGGTTGGTTTTGGATTGGGTTGTGGCTTTTTTGTTTGCTTCGGATTTTGTTTTGGTTTGTAGGATTTATTTTGTCTTGCAGATATGTGTGTTGATTTTGCAAAGATCCACAGGCTGAACAAATAGTGTGTTTCTTAGGAGCACAAATTTACTTCATAGCATGAGGGTCACCAGCTTGTCAAACTACTGTTCCTCATGGCAGGACCATTGTAGCGTGTCAGGCATTAATTTTTACAGAGAAATTTCCTTTTCTACTCAGCAATGTCAAAGTACTCTGTAATATTGCACCTTGGTTTGACATCACACACAAATCATATGTTGGAAGAAAGGAACAAGAACTTTAGTAAGTCTTAAACATAACAACAATGAAGAAAGGTTGAAGGTCAGTATTATTTTAGAATTCTAAAAATAATAACAGATTAATGGTAAAGACAGAAGTGTAGTACCCACCTTTCCATGGATAAAAGACTATTTAAAATTAGTGGTCAGTTTTTTCTTCCATATCCTTTCAAGAGAATGGATTTAATTTTTCAAAAAGGACCACATATATAATGCACATTTTCTCTCTGAGGACACTGAAGATGGCTGCCAGAAGTATCTTCTCTTGATTTAAAACAAAAATTGTCAGGAATAGTTTCCTTATACTATTTGGTAATGTGCTATGTTTAATGTGTTCTTGACATCTTAATGTATTCTTCCTTATTTAGCAATTAATATTTTTGTCCCCATTCTCAAAATAGAAGGCTTTTTTTTTAAGACAACTAGCACAGAAAAGATACCTTAATAGAGAAGAGTTTGAACTCTAGAAGCTTGAACTTGATCTCAAACTAGAAACCTTGAAAACTCTTACTCCTTGGCCTCCCAAGTCCTCTGTTTCCTTCATGCATTTTATTACTCTCTGGTTTCTAGTAAGATGTATCAGTCATCAGAAAGAAGGACCAATAACAGCTCCCGCATCTTGTCCTTCAAGAAAAAGAGTTCTTTTGGACTCCTCTAGATTTCAGGAGAGGCATCTTCACCTACACCAGTTCCACACTGATAGGTCGGAATAGCACCAGTTTCCTGTTTGACCCTATTATCTTACCTGTCACATGGTGATATTTCTTTGTCTAGATTGACTTGCCCAAAGGGAATTGATATTTTTGTTAGAGCTTGCATCTTACTCCAGTTTTCTCATTCTCACAGTTCTCTGTTGAGGCTTATGTGTTCAAAGTTAATGCTGGTGCTCTGTTGTCCTGGCTACTCCCTTCCACTACAGGAAGAAATTTTGAAACATACCTCCATAGCCAGGAGTACAAGCTGTTATTATCAGTTTACCAAGGATTATCTATGAACCTTCTTAAAGGTTTTTTATGTTTGGTTTTCGTTGTTGGGGTTTTTTTTTTAATTTGTTTTTTTTTTTTGGGTTTTTGTTTTTGGGTTTTTGTTGTTGTTGTTTTTATTGGGTTGGTTGGTTAGTTGGTTTTTTGTTTGGTTGGTTTATTTTGTTTGGGGGGAATTTTTGGACTTTCTAGGCATAAAGGAATGGGAGTCAAGATCTAAGACATTTTCTACAAGAGTAGAAAAAAAAAATCATTACAACAAGAACACTTCTGAGACAAGAAAACTACACCTGAGATTCCTTTTAAAAAATACATATCTACAGCTTTTTCTCTTTGGGATTGTCTTAGTTATTCTCTGTGTTGGACAGAGGGGACATTGTTGCAGAGAATGAGTGCTAGTTCCAAGGATTCTATGGCATCCCTGCTGAAGTCAGACACTCTTACTATCCTTGTAATTCAAAGGGAGAATTTTGTAGTTTTGACAAGGCGCTGGTTTGCCTGAAATACCTGAACCTCATGGACAGCTGGAGGAGGTAGAAGAATATTTATCCTTTCTTACTAATTTTTTTGTGTGGTCTGATTTGCTCTCCTAAGGCTTAATTTGGAATTAATGAGGTAGTCATGGACTGTTCCCATGACTTGTATCATGCTCAGGTTTACTTTGCATCACTCCATTCTACTTCTGCTGCCTAATGTGCCAAGATCTTCACTTCCTTTCTCAGCAGTGGAAACTACGTGACTAGCCATAGCCACCTCACATCCCACGAGATTCTCAGGCACTGGGAAAGCATCTGCGCTTGGGTGGCTGAACTGGGCACAGTCTTCTCTTTATTTTTGGGTTTAAAGGTCATCCTGTGATCTTTAGGGTATTGTGTACAGAAAATGGGTCATTTTGTCTATACTCTTAACCTTGCTAAAACCAGCAGAAGAGAATGAGGGAACTACTGCGCAGCTGTAGATCTCGTTCAAGCTGGAATTTAGAATTGCAGTGTTGTCCTCAAACTGTTCATGTATGGGAAAATAATAAATTTCCCAAGTGAGTCATAATGTTGATGATAATCTTGATAGAGGAAACTATATTTCACTTTATGCATTAGACTGAAAACATGGCTTTTTCATGTGATGGTCTCTTCAGATATTAAATAGGCATAAATAGTATATAAATAATATAGTATTGTAAAGAGTATTTTACCCTAAACTGTTCATTTATGCCTGTAATTTTAGCAAGGGTTCTGATGATAATATAAATTACAAATTAAAGATAAGACAGTGGGGGTTCATTTACAAGAATCCAGAGATGAATTACCAATTTAATTTATATGAAGTACATTTTAGTGGTAATTTTTAAGTGCAGTTCATTATTTTGAAGAATATTCCTGTCTTTGCATCCTCCCCATGATGTTTGTCATCAGATTTCTCATACCTTTCAGAAGTGGTTAGCAATGTCTCTGTTTACTTTAAAAAAATGTAAATAATAAATAAATATTTGTGTAATATCACCTTTATGTGATTAGAAAAATTTCTTCCAGATACTTAACAGGGTTTTTTTCTACAATTCTTTGTTGTTTATTTCTATGTTTCTCATTCTCTAGGAGAACATAGAACTTCTCCACTACCTAAGTTTGTTAGTACAATTTATATTTAAAATGTTTTGCTTTTACACATCTGTCTGCATAAAAACAAATGAGAAGACGTTCTGACGACATTTTTTCTGCTCTTTTTAATATCTGAAGTGTCTGCAAATGAGATAATTAAATAATTGAACAAAATTAAGCATAGAGCTATCTTTATACATTTTGTTCCTTGAATATTGCAACCTTCTGAGAATGCCTATAACCTACTTGCATGTTAGCAATTCTTATTTTGAAATGGCTACATCACTTTTTCAAAGTAGGTTGAAAGAGAATGGTCTTTAACAGTTGAAAATCTGAAATTTGAGCAAAGGAAAATAATATATAAATTTGAGCAAAATAAAATAATATGTAAAATAATGTATAATATATAAAAATATATAAAAATAAAATATGAAGAGTAATATGGGGGAGGAAATAGCTTTCCCTACAAGTACGGATTTCCTGCCCACTTACATTAGAGATGCAGAAATATTTCAGTATAAAATGGTTCACTCTCTAAAACACATGGAAATGAGAAGAGGTTTAAATAATATTTCACCATTCTTTCAGTTCTTTTGTTGGGTTTTTTTCTCTTATATATTCTCTTTAAAATAACTTTCATTTCTAAAGATATAAAGCTATATGCTTTGGAACTAAGTGGGTAAATCAAAAGAAAGTTTAAACACAGTCTTTAAAATAGCATTTTCAGTTTGGTTTCTCTCTATTTTATGTGAGTTATACGGAAAACAGATGGAAGCATTATTAATTTTTTCCCCCAATGAGTTTTAGTGCAGCATATTTGTATGTGTTATCTGAAACATATGAATACTTAGTATTGCTGCTGTTAAATTTGTAATGAGTTGTAGGGATTGTGAAATTCCCTGACTGGCTCTCATGCAAGCAGTTCATTTGCAGTGCTTAGATGTGTTAAGACTAAGCAGGGGGAATATGGCAAGCACTATCCCTGACCCTAGATGAAAAATTCAATCTTTATGAGTTTGCCCCAACTCTCGTGTTTGGTGGAAATCAGATAAATACTGTCTAGTTCTGACAAAAAACCCATGCAGTAAAACCTGGTCCTAAATACAAAAGATCACATGGATACCATGTCTTATATTGAAAGTTCCCTAGTACGTATAAAGCCATGGAAATCTTGGGACAAATTTTACGCATCAGCTGGAAGTCTTTACCTGTATTTAGCAATACTTGATGTGCACAGGCATGTTAGGTGTTGGAACACTAGTATTTATTAGTATTTATTTAAATAGCAGTGGCAGAAACATGAAAACATTGGTTTTGAACTTCAGCCACATCTTCACATCTGGCTTGCCATAATGCTCAGATATTTTCAAATGGCTTAAGGTGTCATGAAATGTCTCCAGTTCTATTTTCAATGTTAATTTATTTGTAGTAAAACATTTTAATGAACTGCTCTGTCTGGCAGATATTAATGCTTCAAATAAGTTCAAATATAGTATATACTGAAACACTGACTATTTTTATTTTTAATAAATATTGTTTTCTTCAAGTTCTGTAGTTTTTCTGTTTAAATATTAAGGTCTTTCAGACTGTACATTTTGACAAAACTGTACATTTTGTCAGTTTACGTCTCCATATTGGAAAATCAATCACAACAAAAATTAAATCATACAGTTATGATCATATAATTGATCATTATGAAACTACTTGTATAAGTACTGTTAAATAAATAGTTAATAGTCCTTATATTCCCTTGAAATTTGCAAGGACAGATGGAGCGCAGCATCTGCTTCAGTATGAAAGCAAGACAGTGTTCTTTATAGGTACAAAAATTAGACATGGGATACAGCAATGTTTACTTGTATAGAGACATGAAATTGATGTGATAGAAAATGAAGGTTAAAATAGAATTGCTGCAGGACAAAACCTTTATCTTGGAATTGGTATAATTATTATACAGATGACATATATCAGAAGCAGTTTCATCATTTAAAAAATTGTGATTTATATTGTTACTAAGTTTATTTTCTTATTTCCCTGAATTTATTTTAAAAAATCATTGGTTGCACAATGCACAGTTCTTGCACAGTTCAGACTTGTCTCTTGTTAGGAGCAGTTAATTTCTTGGAGAACTGGGCCCAGAATCTATTACTCCAATATATTTGTATGTAACTGTTGTATGTTTCTCCAAAATATAGTTATGATTTCTGCTCTTGATCTATGTGATATTATTAGTATTTACAAAAAGAAAAAAGCAAACCAAAATTCAAAAAGTGCCTGTCTGGACTGATTCCGTTGGTTTTCTTTTTGTATTATTTAATAAGTTGCTGTAGCCATATGTTGCAATGCTAGGGTTTTGTAAGTTGTAGAATAAATTTAGCTGTAGATCAACTGTAAGTACCTGAATTAAAGTTACATGTAAAACCCTTGTTTATGAAGTGTTATACAGCAAATAGCACTTTTTAAATGATGATTGATCAGTAATAGTACATGTTTTAAGAAGACATTCAAAATCTTTGAGTCTAGGAGTCGTTAGTGATTACAAATATTTTTCCAATAACAGCTGAATTTATAATTTGCATGTGTGAAAGGGTGATTCCAATGTAAATATTGCTGTTATAAAGCAGATGAACTGCAATTGTGTTACCACTATCAATAGGCCAAATGTTTTTCTTTAGTAAAATACCTGAGATGAGAAATGTACCTCTTATCTGCTGGTTAATGTCTGTACTTCTCAGCAGGGAACTAATTTAAACACTTCATGAGAGATTGACATTTTCAGTACCTTAAACATCCTTAAAAGCTGCTTTGTTCACTGCAAACCATATTTAGTATGACCTCATAATAATGTAGCACACCTCAAGTGTCATGCCTGTCTTTACTATGCACTTTGGAGCTGTGTTCATCTGTACTAGACAACTGCACTTCAAGGAAAGATTTTTTTTTTTTTGCTTGATAGGCAATTAGCAGTAATTAGGAAGATTCACTTCAGTAAGGTGTCAGCATGAGATTGTTTAAAAAAGTTGAACGTCAGTGGCTTTAAAAGAGGGTTCTTTTCCCTGACACATAGGTATGGCATGTGAAACATGAAATGTTAATTTAACTTTTCTGCTTATTATTCATGCACAATATTATTTTGTCATTCAGATACTACACTGACAGAGTGCAAAGGGTGTTAAAATAGTGCTGCTGGAATAAAAAGAGGATTAATCTACCATTGGCCAATTAGCCAAAGGGTACTTAATGGTCTCTAAAGGCTACTGAAGTCTAACAACTAGCTAAAGCACTGGCAAAAAGTCCTCCATATTACCTTCATTTATTTGACATTTTGTGGAATAGTCAGCTCCTGATAACTGCATTTGGCTGAAAAAAATACAACTAAATGATTCAGTAGATTTTACTGAAATTTCAGAAGGATAATGACAAATAAGTTCTACATTTTACAAGAAATTTGTCTTGATTTTGGGGGGTCTTTGTTTCAATTTAGGGATGGGATATTAAGTCACCAGAGTCTTCTGTTTGATATTTTGTCTTCATGTCTAGAATACTAAGTAATCAACCACTTACAGCACTTGCATGAAAAGAACTTTGATCCAGGATTTGAAGTTATTTGCCTTTTCTCTATATGATCACATTAAGTATTCACCATAGTTTTTTAGTCTGGTATATATCTTTTGAGATAGCTACATACCATCTTTATTAATGTTGGCTTTTTTTTTTTCCTATGACCCATCAGGCAGAGGAAGGTTTTGATTCAAGAGTAGTGGGATTGACACAATAAATTGGATATTGTAAATAGGTTTATCATTATGTTGTAATAATATTTGAGAGAATTAGTAAATTCATAAACACCTAGCTCTCCCTGTAAGCATGCTTTGAAAAGTTCTGTTTTACGTGTGCAACAAGTACTGCTTATTTTGTGTGTTTTTCTTGATCAAGCAGAAACTGTGTGAAAATAGTGTTCTATGTAAAACATTTATAGAAGCAGTGTTAAATTTTAAGATGGAATTTTGTATAGGAGCTATCCATATAGCAAATGTATTCTATTACATACTGTAGGAAGGTTTCTTAGGAGAAAAGAAAAATGAGTGTTAACTTCAGTTTTCTTACAGCCATAGCAGTGTTTGCATCTGCCAGGATTTTAGGGTGGAAAGCTTCACAGAAAATGGGATTTTTACACATCGAAGTCTATTAGCTTTAGTTTACAAAATGAGTAGTAAGCTAAGATTATGTCACTGCTTTAAAAGTGTGTCAGGAATGCCTGATTTACATCCTGGTTTATAATTTTTATATAATATATTTTGCAAATAGAAGTGTGTGGGATTGTGTGGCTTCAGTAGCAGTACAGCATCAGCTCCTTCCAACAGAAGTGTTATATTCATACATGCCAGTTGCAGTAGAATAGTGACTTCTCTAAAATAAAATCACTTATGGAGTGATTGTGATGCCAAGGAGCAATAGGCCATTCCAGGAACTTCCTGTGTTAACCCACTGGGCCTTCCACACAGCTGTCTTTCTGAGCAGAGAGCTTACAGTGAAAAGCCTTGCTGAGTCACTGGAAGTTTTATACTGACTACATAGAAACTGAGTTTTCATCACTTACTCCTTTGTGAACAGCAGTACAGAGTGTCATGAGTATACCAGGAGCAAGGAGATTAAGATAGATGAATGTTAAAATACTGAACCTATAAACATCTGTTAAGCCAAAAACACTCTGGAGGAGGTGCAGCAGACAGAGGCCGCTACATCATAGAGGAACAGCAGTAGGCTGCCTTTACCAACATCTGGTCTAGCTGATGTTTAAGATTCTTCCACCTTTCATCCTGGTGACCTCTTCCCCTGGAGTAAATTCTTTTTACTCTGTAATTCGGGATTTGTGTGTCGGGTAACACACACACAAGACTTTTGTTTTGTCCGAAAAAGAAAAAAATAATTAAAAATTTGACCTAAAGTATAGGCAGTGGTGAAGAATACCAGGGTAATAAACTTGTTTCTTAAGTAAATACAAGGAATATCTTTTAGTCATAAATGTCTTGATAGGGCAAGGGTGCTGTTTTTTATATCCCACATGGATTTACATAGGATTTTCTCATAACTGCTCAATAGATTAAAAATAAAAGAGTAATGCAGTAGAATTGTCAGTCTTGTAGTAAATTTACAATGTCTACAGCAGTATTAAGAGACAAGTGATGTGAAATGTCTGATTGCAATTGCATGCCTGTCTGCTTTTGTGGATTGGGCTTTTGTACATCATATGCTACTTTCACTCCATCCATAGTTCTTGTGCTGTTTCTGAATTTATGTAGATTCGTATTTTAAAATCTTTTTTTCTACCTCTTTAAGTAGTTTCTGTAACCAACTGTCATCTTTAGTACATGTCCCATGAAGGCCTTTTTCTTTTTGAATATATTTGTTATAATTTTTGAGAATGCAGCCAGTGCAATTCAAGTTGTTTTAGAACTGATACATATTGTCAGCAGCAATAGCCTAAGAAACTTCTGAGAGTCACGAGCTATCTTGGGCAGATACGGACATTTCTAATTTTGAACAGAGATATTGATCTAGCTATGATTTTTTTTTTCTTTTCCTTTTATGAATAATTTATTATAGAGATACTGAATCATGAAATTCTGCATGTTGAAATACTGGTTATACTGGACAAATTAACATAATCTTCATATTTTTCTATACTGTGTTCTTCTGTATTACTGCTGTTTTTTCTTGTTGAAATAGTCCTTATTTTGTCTTTTGCTCTGCAAATGTAGTAATTACGAGAAGAATACATCAGATTAAGGAACAGTCAATTAGAAAATACAGTATCATTCTCTTGTTTAATAATGACAGCAGATGCAGAAGGGAATGGAAAGATTAGCTCCTTTACTAAGAACAGTACTTACCTCAGATACATATGTAAAATGCCCACTGACTTTAATAAGTGCACTTGGTGAATATGAAATAAATACCGTTATTTTTTTAACTTTAAATACCAGATGAATTTTCGTTGTACCCATGATATTTTTTTAGGCTAATGCAAAATATACAAGCATTCTTTTCTCATTCATAATGGGAATTAACTTGCCTCTCTTTTATCTGTATATATGATTTTCAGATTATTGTCATGAAAGTGTATGTTTTTATAAACACATATGTATGATATTTTTTTCCTAATTATATCAAGCAATATAAAATCTAATTTGTAAGTTAAATAATAAACTGCTTGAGAATAGAATACTTAACTTTCACTTCTTTTGGGGATTTTTTTGTTTGCTTTTAGGGGTGGTTTTTTGTGGGTTTTTTGAGTTTTGTGGGGGTTTTATGTTTGTTTTTTTTTTTATTTCTGGTTGGGTATTTCATTTGACATCAGCTTATAATCAGGCACACATTTAGTTATTTCAGGCTGTCATGTATCTTCTCATGCTTCTGATCGGGATTCTTCACAAAGTAAGGGGTTTTTTTTTGCATTTTGAGGTATTTCAATACCACTTTGTACAATTGTTTCTTATGTTAAGCTACTGTATTACAGGCTTATGTGGAATAATAAGATAGCATTTTAATAACCCATGTAAGGAGCTGAGAGCTGTTAGGCCATTGTTGGCTTGTGGCTGACTGCAGTTTTGTGAAAGTTAATCACTGGCATGGATACTATTTCTGTTCCCTTTTTGCAGAACATTCAATATTTAAATTAAAACAATTATTTAAAACATTACTTCTGAAAGGAGTAATGTGAAATATATTGGTACAAAGATTGAATAAGTCTTGTTGGTTGTCGGTCAAGTGCAACAAGGCTAGAGAGTTTGTTTGCATGATATTTATTTGAACTAAATCCCTAACAAGGCTCGTCTGCTAATTGGACTTAGCATTTATGTTGCTAAGTGAGAAGCATTTTGGCTGCAGTATAGGGTGGTAAGACCTACCCAGTGGAATAAACAACTAACATCTGTTATCCTGTCCTGCTCCAGCTTGTCTTTTACCACTTAAGTACTTCAGCCCTAGAGTCAAGGTTATGGAATGTGCAGTTCTCTGGCTATGGTGCATATACTGAAAGGGATGAAATAACACATAGGTAAAGACCAGCCAACCAGGAGATGTTTAGTGCAGCTGGTCCACTTTGCTTTAACCTCTACAAGCCCTAGAATTATCAGAACAGAAGCCAAGAGAAGGGTGTACACTTTATAGTAGTTGTCAGCACAACTGCTGAACAACACAAGCAATTCAAATGAGCTTACAGTGGTCACCATTAGAACAGATTTGACATCTAACTACCCTTTATTCACACTGGTACCTGAGACACCATGCTATTTCTTCATATTCTGTGTAGAAATAATTGCTGAATTCCAGGGAGGCTCTAGGTAAACATGTTTCAACAGTAACTGCTGTTACAGTTTTGTATGATAATTTTTGTTTGTCGTAGTTAAAACTGCAACATATTAAATCGAAATTGAATTATTTTGCCTTAAAATAATTGCTTGTTTCCAGTGGTAGTAGATTTCTTTTTTCTGCAAAGATTTCATCTTTGCCTGTACTAGAGAATTCAACCAACAGTTATGCAATGTAATTACATGTAATATGTACAGTTTCATTCCTCTTGAATGGTGAACTGGAGAAGCATCTAATATGATCAAGCAGAAATATTTTTAAGATGAAATTGATTGTTTATTATCTTTGTAAAACGGCCTGGCCAAGTGGCAAGTGGTGAAGGAAGATTTACAAGGAAAATTAAAGTTGAGAGAACATCTGTCTCAAACTGCTGGCAAGAGTGAAGCCACACCAGCTCCTTCAAAGAACACTGATTTAGAGATGAAACAGCTGCAGTGCAAACTAAAGGTGACAGAACAGATTATCTAGTGCTGAGGATAATTTGTATGAGCAGTAGTTCATAACTGGGTCAAGCAGACATACGTATACTCCCATACGCCTAACATTTGTATATCATCGCAAATGATTAGCAGCTTAGGTGTTAGATTGCCTTTGATGGTAAGCAGAAATGTAGTCATAGACAGAACTAAAAGTTCTAAAACTATTTCTGCAGATCAGATAGGCCAAACAAGGAGCCTTGCTGGGTTTTTGCACAATGACTAAGTACATCTTGTTGGAAGGTGCTGTGAAATCAGTTTGATGAGAATTCAGTTGGTTCCTTTCTTAATCTAAGGAGAAAAGCAATAGCTGTCTGTGAAAGTGGAGCAAAGAATTTGAGCTAATGGGGCAGCAGTGTTGTGTGTGTGTCAGTGTTGTCTTTGTCTTCAGAGAGACTTTTTTATTATTTTTGTAGATTAGCTGGTAGGAAAATACTGACTGGTTGATGATTTCACTTTTCAGTCTCAGGTGATTTTGTTGCATGTGAATGATGCAGAGACTTGACTGTGTTGTTCTGAAAGTTTTCTCAGCAGGTGGCCTGGCTCAAACATATTAATTCTTCTTCTCTTCTCACTGGAGGAAATATATTTGCAACAGTATGTCTTCAGGTTTTTTTCCAATTGTTTTCTGTTAAATAGTAGAGGAAAGAGAAAAGGTCAAAATGGTGCAGCTTCGTGCTGCTAGAAGAAACTCAACAGTAGCAAGAAGTCTGCCAAAGGATCAGCTAGGAGAAAAGGCTGTGTTACATGGTCAACATAGCTGCCTCTAAATGCTGGATTAGCTGTGCTAGCACATGAGATATGGGCAATGCTCAGACCTCTGAGCTGTTGATGGTAATCATGGTATTACAGATCGTGGCTGTTGCATACTGGATGCATAACATCCAAATTCAGGGATTAGTAAAGGTAGGTCACATTGATAAAGAGATGAGGCCAGCTGGGAGTAGCCATGAAGAGGCACATAAATTGATCTGCTTTAATTATGAGAAAGAGGTCTTAAAACCATACACACTGTCTTCTTGAGTATTGTTTTTAGATTTGGGATTGAATAATCTGCATCTGTTGCTGTTAATTAGGGTTGTACCTTTTACATTAGTATCTTCATTATCCAGAAACCTAGCAGCCAACTGATCTGTGCAGGTAGGAAAAATTAAAAAATGGGGATTTTTTTTTTTTTTTAAATAGTCTAAGAGTAATACCCATGCTAGAAACCTACTCTATTTGTCTGCCAAATGTGAACAGCAAAATAAATTGCTGAAAAATCAAAGGGTTTTTTTTGTTTCTGCAGCAGAGGAAATATTTAGCAAGCATATATAAATCTGATATCAAAAATACTAGCATGACTTTTAATTCCTTCTTAAAGATATATTAAATTTTTAATGAAAAAATAAATCATGTATGCAAAACTATATTTAGGATGGAGATAGTCTGTGACCCCAAATGCTAAGTAGTAGAGTAAATTCACTGGTTTCTGAACTGGATAAGAGTTTTCAATATAAGGAGCTCAAAAACTACTTAAATCAATTTTCTGAAGTTCTTAACTTTATTTAAAGCTAGTTTAAGTCCTGAGAGTTATTTTTTAGCCGAAGAATTTGACAAAGGGTTTTCAATTATTGTTCCAGGCTTTCTAGCTGACTTAAAGATGAGACACATAGTTATTCTCCTGAATATCTGAATGTCTAAGCAGCAAAAGCTTTCCTTATAGCTCAAAATGTCCAAGTACCTGGCCTTGTTGGTTATTTTTTTTTCTTTAGCACTATCTTTGCAGTGCTTGTTTACATTATTACATTGTAATAATGATTCCTTGTATCTTTTCCAACAGGAAGAAATGTGTTAAGTGTGGGTGGTGAGTTCGGAGGCAAAATGCCATAAGCATATGTCTTTGCCTCTGAATGTGTGCAGAGGCCCACCTAAGTACTCAAGTTCATGTCTGGTGTGCAAACCACATAACTGGGTGCTCTGCTTTACGCTAATGGAACTCAATCTCCACAAACAGGTCTCAGGAAACTCAGGAATATTCTGCTAGCATACATCATTTAAACAATTTTCTGGTTATACCTCACATTATAATAATAGTAAATAGAGTAGACAAGTTATTAAGAACAATATTTTACATCTAACTATGCACACAAGAATATATACTCCCCTTGAGGTGCACAGAGTTATGTGCAATACTCCCATTAATGTTAATAGGCATTACAAGTCTGCACCGAGCAGAGAAATTCTCCTGAAGTATCATTGTTTACAGCGTCTGATCTCTTTGCTTATTGTTTATACATAGTGAGTAAAAAGCTGTAGTACACTGGCTAAAACTGTATACATACAGGCAGATACATATTTTGTGGGTATGCTTAACATGTCTCTTTTGGCAACACCTTTTGAAGTTCTGAAATGTCTCTGTGTGGTATGTGTGCCATTTCAGCAATGGCATTCAATGCATGTGCTCAGATTGCTAAGATGGCTACTTAGTTAAATTCCTTCCTTCCTTCCTTCCTTCCTTCCTTCCTTCCTTCCTTCCTTCCTTCCTTCCTTCCTTCCTTCCTTCCTTTTTCATCTTGGGTAGATGATGTGTAATTGCCTGGAGGAATAGAAGCACTTTTTTTCTTATATACAGATGAGGAATGGCCAACAACTGTATAAATGTCACTGGAATGACATGTGCCTGAAAATCAGGATCATACCTGGTTGTTAGTGAAATGTAGAATTTGTGTTAGTACAGACAAATGGAAATGTCTCTGTGTTGTGCTTTGAATTTCTGGAGACGTGAAAGCAACCACTCTTCTAAATTGTTTTGTATTTCTTAATACTTAAGATGAAAGGAATTACTGGACATTCTTACTGTATAGATGTAGACTCCTTGTGCTGTAGGACAGTACCATTCAAAAATATAGTTCAAGTGAAGATCCAGTTTTACTTCTCTTCTGTTACGTTTTATTCTGACCGCGCTGTGCAAGAGAAAATGCGGTCCTGATTTGTGCTTGCAAGTGTCCCAGAGAATATCTAGTAGCCACACATTATTAGAACAATAGAAATGTACTGATTTTCATCATATTTTCCAAGGAATGTACTTCTGCTGGAATGTTTCTAGAAAGTAAGATAAGAACACTCCTTTTTTACCAGCTAATTTCTAAGAACCTTCATAAAATACATGGAAATTTACTCAGATAATTTTTTTCAAAATTTACTGTTGACTGTGATCAACAGTGACATTCGGTCTACTTTATTTATATTTTAATCTTTTTCAATATAGAATTGGAACACTGAGATCGCTAAGCAATCGACCACCATTAAGTAACTTAAAAAACAAGTCCAGGAAAAAGAAGAATGGATTCAGGAGCTGCCAGGGAAGCGTGGTGCCCCTTCTATCCATTGTGTCTGGTGCCACCCAGTGGCAGCTGTGAAATTGCTGCAACGTCAACTGTGCCTCGATTCTTGAGAGAGCGGTGTCTTCTTTTTACTGCAGTCTTGCACAGTGTTACAGGGATGTTTTTGAAACTGGAGCAGTTTGTGCTTAAATTCCGGTTTTTGTAAACTGACGCAGCTAGCTACAGTACCTGTATGGCAGTAAAAATACCTTAAGTCGGAGCTCAGGCTATTTTATCCTTGATGTAAGTCGAAATGAATTCCTCAGCACTGTTAAACACAGTCTTTCAAATTCAGTAATTCTTTGCCTAGGGGCTAAGAGACGTGTCAAGGTTCAGATGCTTAAATAAGATTAAATAGCTAGTCTTATATTCATAAAAAAGTTCAAAAGGACAGTTGTATTTGTTTCTATTTGAATTGACTCAGGTCTGTTATTCGTTTTGAAATTCAAAAGTTGTCAAATATGCAACTGATTTTTTTATTCTACCTACTGTAACTGATATAATACTGCTCTTCAATTATATTATTATATGAACTATAAAAAAGCTATGTGTATCTGAATTTCTTGTCTGCCTAAGATTTTAACTCCTCTAACCCTGCTGATGTTTTAATTGAAGAAAGAATGCAGTTTGCTTATCTGAAAATAGTTCATTTGAAATATAGAGAGCTCTAAAAATGGTTAAATTTTTGACTGTTTATTTTCTCTTTCAAAGTGAATTTTTCCACCATAAGATTTCAAATTTCAAAGAGTTATTGGATAGCATTCTTTCTTTATAAAATAGATCTTGGTTTTTTATAGGCTGTAAAATATAATAACCAAAATAGCAGTAAGAGAATAAAGGTGAAATAAGTCAAAGAAATTTTTAGATGCATAGTATTCCTGGTTTGTTTTTTTTTTTAAATACAATATTGACATTGTGTTAAAAGTGTTGTATACCTGAATATAATACCATTCATTTTGATTTCATTGGAAAAAAATCCAGATATGTGGACATGTTTAGGTATTTATGTTTATATTTAAAATATTAATTTGTGTTATAATAGTGAAAGGATTTTATAAGGCATAATTTTGTCATTGAACAAAGATTACTTTTTAGTACATGGGAGTTTTGGGGATTTTACAAGAAGTTTCTGACAAAAGCTGATGTTATTTCTAGGTTTTGCATTTTATCTCATCTGACACATAGGGATAGAGTTTTTTTCTATCTATTTCCCATGTATTACTCAGTTGGAGGAAAGGAGTCTTCCCCATTTCACTTTCTTTTGAAAATAATTTTGCAAAAAATAGTGTTTGCATGATTGTTTGCAACATCAAAGGAATTTAATTAATTGACTTCTGTGGGCTCAGCAGGTTTGTTTTCCTTTTTTTTGATAATAGTTTCATCACTGTTGTGATTTCAGTTCAGACAAGCAAAAATCAAATCACAAATATATTGCATATTTTAAAAAGGTCTGTTTAATAGGAGACTCAAACTGGGTTTAGTACTTGAGAACCAAGTAAATTGCAAGAACTGCATCAGCTTTCATTTTTGAAAGTATTGTAGTGCTGCAGGTGTGATAGATTGTCTACTGCCTTCATACCTTTTAATTGCATATTAACCAGATTTTCTAGCAGTGATATGCAGTCCAACTTCTTCCTCTGCAGAATTTCTGAGTTGGAGAGGGATGTGAAAAGGCATTTGACAGAAGGCTTGAGGTCTTGCCTAAAAGCAAATCAAGAAATGAGAAAGCCTCAAATGAAACACTGGAAAGTCTTGAGAGAAACGTACTTCTTTCTTGCTATTTCTAGTTTTCGAAAAAACAGAAGCTGGTGGATTTACGGAAGTTATTTCAACACACTATACATATTAAATCAATATATTGCTTAAAGCAAAGAACATATAGTTAATTGAAGGGTGTAATTCCCTCCACTATAATTTGTATGAAATCAGTATATGGTGATAGCTTGAACAGATTCAGCATAATTTAATTTATTGTTGTTGTAGGTGTAATTAAATATTAAAGTATTCAGAACACACAGTTACAAGGATATGCTGTAAGTAGTGGGATTTAGTTTTATGCACTGTAAGTTCATAAAATATAGTAGACCTGAAACAAGGGCAATTTTACATGACATATGCTAATTAAGTCCATGCATCTCTCCTGGCTATAGTAGTTAAATGCTTTAATATGTTAATCTATTTTCTACTACAGTGTTATGAATGATTCACGCTTCTTAGCTTAAAGTAATTCTAACTGTGTAGGTAGTGCTAGACTTCTATAGCAAATTACTTTCTCCTGCAAAATTTCAGGATGATTTCACTGAAGGTAAGAGAATTTGTATATGATTTAGCATATTTCTTATCCAACTGATGCATTGCACTTTGGCCTTCAATGCCAGAAAAAGATCATGATGTTTGGTTGTCTGTCAGGTTATGCAGCTTATTACCCCAAAATAGAAATAAACAACTTGCCAGTTTGCTTTTGTTTGCCTGGAATGCAAGTGCTTGCTGAGTGACACAAGCACTATTCCTGCTTGCAGTCATACAGCATTTTCAGCTCCAAAGAGAGCTAATGTATAACCCTCCATGCTAAAGATAAGAAATTATCTTTAAGATAAGATAAGATTAAGAAATCCACAGCCAGAAAGTGAGAACATTAAGTAAGCAAGGCAGCTAAGGTACGACATGAAAAAAATACCTGATTTTGATTTTGGATAAAAGATTTAGTATGGAATAATGTGCTTTAGTGCTGTACTTTGAGTATTTGAAACATTTCATTTCCAAAGAATTATATTCCATACATTATTTTGATTATTCCGTGTGGAAAATCAGATTGATAATTTTTACATTATCTTTTGCAAAAGATCAAAGAAATTCCCTGTTACTCAATATTGTCAGGAAAACTTTGTGATTAGCACTATAGGAAAGCTGAATGATTTTTAGGAGCATTGGCTTTTTTCATTTTACCCCCAATCAGTGTTTGCATTAGATATTAATTATCTAAGAAGCTTTACAGACTATTAACATATAGACAGTTATTTTCTCAACTGAGTTTGAATTTATGTTTTTATCTCTGACAAAATAAATTAGTGGAAATTGTAGTTTACTCCCTTTTGCAAGTACTGTGAGTCTAAAATATATATGAACAAACGGCTCTGAGCTTTTCTTTATATTTAGTGCCAGTCAAAATTTTATGTAACAAGATTGTGTGTGAACTGATCTCTACTGGATCAACAGTAGGAATTTATTAAAGTCTGCAATTTCAGAAAAAGATACTTCAGTAATGTAATAGTATATTTTTATGTAATATAGGTATGCTTAGTTCTGATTTTATTCAAATTTTGAAGTTTTCTATCTTGATAGTCAATGCTCTTGGCCTTCCATTATTTCAGGTGAAGGCACTGGCTGAAGACAAAAAAGCTTCCAATGACTCAATGAAACAAAGGTTTGATGTAGCTATGAAAGAGAAGTCTCAGTATGAGCAGGTGTATCACAAAGCTAAAGATGATTTGGAGAAAAGGGTATAATTAGAGTTTTGATGGCTCCACTGTGGAACTTTTTCTTGCCTTACTTTCTAATGAAAAGTTGCAAGGTCATCAGCTTAAACTTCCAGTACAGAAAGGGGGAAAATAGCAGAATAATAGTAATCTGTTTCTCTGATGTAATTCAGTCACACTTCTAAAATTTACATACTGAAACATGGATGTTAATGACTGAAAATGAAATTACTTTTTGCCATGAAAATACATAGTGTATGTTGCAAGTGAAATATTCTGTGATGTCACCTATGGTGTGGGAGGTTGGTTGTTCATTCATGTGTTTGTAATCAGCTTTTATCATAACACTGCTGTGTCCTTGTGGATGAGTTTCAGGATCTCAAGATTGCTAAACTAGAGAGAAAAGTGATGGAGAGTGAATGTGCTGTGAGTGAGCTTGTAACTGCTGCATCTCAACAACTTCATTGCTTGGCTAAGCAGAGTACACAGGCTTTGGAGACTCTACAGAAGGAGCTGCTGCTCACCAGTGACAAAGTAGAAGAGTTCAAGACATTTGTGAAGGTTTGAATGTTGATTTTCTTTTGAGTGTTCACCTGAGTGAAGGTACTTTTTATTGAAAGCAAAATGTAAAAGATTAAGCAAGGCTTGGATGCACTCCCTGTTCCAGAACAGTGTTTGTAGTTGCTGCAGTGTTCTGGTGTCAGGTCTGAATAAGGAGAAAGAATCTTTGCCTCTCTCCCAGACTTTGAAATACCTCCATGACTTTTATTGGTCATCTTTTTGTATATGGCTGACATTTACTTGGTCCCAAAAGAAAGTCCTTAGTTGTGTATCAGATTACTTTGCAGCAAATAAATTGCCAACACATTTAATACGGTAATTCATATCTATTGATTACTGTGAATTACTGCATTTTCCATATGCATGTGCCTTGTGTTTTAGAAATACTATATAAGGAGGCCTCTGTGTTGCAAAATGGAAAGCAGTTTTAAGAGCACTGTGTAGAATATTGTTTCCTTATATTCCTTCCAGGAAAGTGGTCACAGCATCAGCCTGGTAGAGTTCAGGAAAGGTTTGAACAATGCTCTTGGACACATGGTGTGACACCTGGGGATAGTTCTGGGCAGGGCCATGAGTTGGACTTTGATGATCTTTGCAGGTCTCTTCCAACTCAGAATATTTTGTGATTTTATTAATGTAGTATGTAACTGCTGTATACCAACTTCATACCTTCAAAGTAAGCTATTGTTTATTAACCCATGAAACAGCTACTTCTCTACTGCTCTTGGATTTCTGTAGAAGTGAGCTGCTTTCAGATATGTTTGAGAAGGGTGAAGCATTCAAAGTAAAGAGTAATGGTATTTTGATTCACTGGAAAAAGAAAGCATTTGAAGTCACTATACGTGGAAGTGTTCAGACCTTTAGCATTTGCCTAAAATCATCCCGTGTTCAGTTCTGTTGCTAAGTTTATATAAATTTCCTTATAAAAGAAGACTGAATGATGTTTGATATTGCTTTAGAATCCTAAATTCAAGTAATCCATAAGCTAACTTATCTAAGGTGAAAATAATGATTGGTTTTCATGAAAAAGCGCCTGTTCTTTAAAAAATTAGATACTTTATTTTTAAAGTTTGTTATTAAAGTGATTAATATTTTCTGTTTGCATTTTGATCTACTTGTTGAAAAAGAGGTATAAAACTGATCGTTATGCCCATTTGTTCAGAAATATGCTGCCTATTCTTGAACAGACTATAAATTTTTATGAGAGAAAATATGCTTTCTTCTAATACTGAATGCTTACTCTAAGAGGAAGATATAGGTGTTTTTTCCACAGCCGCATGCTTATTTTTGGCTAAATATGGAAAAGCCTGAATTGATCTAATGTATTATCTATTATTTTTAATTAAGTACTCCTATGTCACTGATGACGGAGAGAAGCAATTCAGTCTCCATTTAGACTGCTATGAGTTTTGGAATGTTTTCACTGAATAAAGTGAAAGTAGCAGTTAGAGAAATAAGGAGATAAAAAAATCATGCTATCAATATTTTACATGGTTCCATAATGAAAATTTTTAAATTAATTAGAAAATGAGAAAATAAAAGATCTGTTCTCAGAAGTAAAAGTAGTGCGCAGGATCACCTATTAGCAACTATTATCTTAACTTCATTCTTTGTTGAATGAGATGACAGCTTCCTTGTTAATTATCATATTCATTAGCACTTTGATGGTTACACTAGATGTGAAAAAATGTAAATATTAAATAATAATAATAATAATAATAGTAATAATAACAACAACAACAACAACCACCTATTTTCTTGCCTGAATGTAAAGAATATGCATGCATATTTCAAGTAACAATTTTGCTGACTGTTCCTGTTCCTCTGCAGAACAAGTTTTTGAAAACAAATATAGTGTCTATAAGTAAACTACTTTGTTAAGTTGGGTGCTAAAATCATATTTTATTAGCAATATACCACTGTAAAAAAGTAAAATCCTTAGCAATCCAGTAGAATTGTGCAGTATATCATGTAAATCCTGCTAAAATATCTCTTGTATATCTGATGTTATAATGAGATATTGTGATATTACTTACTGTAATAATAGCAGTACTCCTTCCTGTTGAAGAGTATAGCTCTTCTTTTGAAGTCTGGTCTGCCTTGTTTCTTTTCTTCTGGATAGCTGTCAGGTTTTTGTCCCCTGATCTTGATTCTCATTCCAGTTCCAGCAATTCAAATAATTTTTTCTATATGGAGATCAAGTTTCACCTATATATATATCACTTAAACAGGTTTACAAACTTAAACAGGTTTACAACAGTTTTGTCTGCTATTCTGATCACTTCATTAGTTTTACTTGTTTTTTAGAGTGCAACTGTAATTTTCTCCTTGTTCTCAAATTGAAGGTAGTTACTTTTTCTACCCATTCCACATCTCTTGTGACATTATATACTTCTTTTTTAACATACAACAATTAAATTATTTCGGAGTTGCTAATTAAGTTGCTGCTAGTTACAGCTATAAATGGGAGAACAGGGTAACTTCAGAGAAGAGTGTGAGTGTTTATAGCAGGCAGCGTTACATGCTTTTAAAGTTATTGGTAATCCAGAACCACAGGATCCTGGATTTGTTTGGGTCAAGATAATAAGTTACAAAACATAGGGAAGAGGTTTGTGGTAGAAATCTGATATACATCAGTGGATCACTGTAGAGGATGTGATGACTTACTAATTGTAATGGAATGTAATAAAGTGTTGCATTTGCTGTGGTCACCCCAATTTGGGACATTTACACAATGAGCTAAAACCATTAGATTGTAGAATCTAGTAATAGTTTCCAAAAATCCTTAAAGGAATGCTTGTAAACAAAGGTTGCTGTATCCAGTATGTTTTAAGGGATTATTGGATTCATTTTTGTTGGAATGTGGCATAGGAATCAGGTATTTTGTGCAGAATGACTTTCAGAGGGAACTGGCAGAGCACCTGAAATAGGTTAATTCAAAGCAGTTCATTTGTCCAAAGTTGTTATGAGGAACAACTAATAGGCTAATAGGAGGCTAATAGGAAATATGAATAGAAATTGTGGACAGTAATTAAGTTACTAAAAAACCACTGTTTCATAACTGGATGGTAACTCCTCATAAATATCTCTTTCATTTTGGTAGGAAAGAGAGCAAAATATTTAGAAATAAAAGGCCACATAAACAAAGTGAAAAATGGATTCTAGATAATAACCTGAAAATATAAGCAAGAATGGAATATAAAAGATGGATAAGGTGCTGAGTAAATAAGAGGAAATCTTTGAGTAGCAAGGCCAAGAACAGTAGTAAACAGGCAGGAATTATGAATGTTCTGTTACTAAGGTAGCTATTATAGGGCAGATGTAATCTGTTATTAGATAAAACAACTCTGTAACTGTGTAAAGATAGAGTGAATAAAAATATGAAATAAATAAAATCAATGTGATAAAATGAATACTTCTGGAATGAAGTAGGCTGATGTCTTATGAAGATGCTGCAACATCCTTAATCTATTAGTAGCAAAGAGAAAGTTTTTAACATTTTCTAGAAAGAAGTAGGATTTTTGGATAGAGAATTTTTATAGCTTACCACTTCATAGAGCTGGTCAAGAAATATTTCTCTTGCTGATCCTCATTTTGAATAAATATTTGAAGTTAGTGCATGTATACTACAACACTGCCTAGAGTCTGAAAGAATGATAATATTGAGTCAATATTCAGGAAAGGCAGTATTTTATGTTCGTTAATCTGACTCATTTCTGAATAAAATACTGATAAGAAATTCAGTTGTTAAAGTGTTAAACATGGGAGTATAGTTATACTTGTTAGAGTACTGTTATGAAAAGCGAGCTGAATTGAGTAAATCTAGTTTTTTTCTGGAGAGTAGTACAAGTCGGTTGATAAAGGTTACTATTTGTTTTAATATACCTTTTTTTTGACCTACTACCGAGATGTTCAGATAAAAAAAATAGCCCAAGCAGTATCAATAGTATGTTAAATTTAAATAGATTAAAAACAGCTCATGCAGTCGATCTGAAGAATAAATCATAAAATGTAGGTGTTTTTTAGAGTTGCAGTAATGACCAGAACTAAATTTGATTATTAAACATTTTCACAAAATTCATATCCTGATAAAATTTTTCCATAGTATGTATCAAACTAAGAATTAATAATGAAAGTAGAGCTGTCAATATATCAATTAGGCCAAATAAAGCCATTTTATTATATTTATAAATGCAAACTACCTGGAAGAGGGATCAGGTGGCTCTGAAAGTACTTCAGGTGCGTTTTCTAGAGCTCATGTCTTTATCACACCCTGCTCCCTTCAGCACCATAAATTCTCTTTGAATCATGCATTCAATTTTTATGGTGTACCATTGCTCAGGATTTTCTATAACAGGTACTGTCAGATCCTCAGGTGGATCTGCCAGTTATGTGAAGCACAGCAACCAGAGCAAAATGTTCTTTGTTGCGTGTTTGTAGTACTTGAGAGACCTCATGCAGAAAACAGCCATTGGAGGAAGTTAAAAAGTTGCTATTAGACTGCTTGACTGGATTTCTATTGAAAATATAGTAGAACATACTAGTTTATTACGAAAATGTCCAAATTCCTGCATGAATTCTGTTTTCCAGCAAGTTCTATTTTTTTATTCTCCTCTAGACTTTGACCGTATGTTTCTCTTAGAGGCTTTTGTAAGCCAAGACTCAGCAATGTCGTCTGTCCCATTCAACTTGTACACCAGCAAAACTCATTTTAATCTGCGGTGATGATGCCTGTCTGAGCATGAGAATATTAGAACTTTTCTGACCTTGAGAAGGATTGTTTTGCTAAGGCATCTATATTCAGCTGTGGTGGTAATAAATAGGTGATGGCAGCTGAATGCTTTGAAATCAGTTGAGTGCACTTCTTACTTCCATACTACCTCTGTCATTTGGGACTTGTGTGCCTTCCGCTGAGGATGCCCTCTGCAGCACAGAGCACATCTGGTGTGTTCTGGCATTGTTCTTGATAGGTCTGCAGTACAGCCATCTGATAAAACTGA